TTGTAACTTTAAGACTATATAAATATACATATATAAGTATATAATATATATTCAATAATGTATTATATAACATTATTGGCTCTGCATTGGATTATTATCAGTTCTGGTAAAACTACGTCTGAAAGCAGAAGTCTAGGGCAAATGATTCAAAGCAAATATTCAACAATTACACCAATTGTATTTTATATTATATTCTTTGCAAGCTCTTGCGGGCCACCATTTTGGTTACTAGTTACTTTGCAGGTTCATATGATCAATATGATCAATTCACTTATTACGATATGCTATAATGTATAAATATACCTGTATAATATATATATATATATATATTTAATATACAAGTCATTAAAGTTAGCTCAACATTTACCAGCTGCAAAATATAATGATGTTCAGATGACTGTGTCACTTATGAGGTGATATAATATACTGTACTTTGGTACGTAAGTATAAATGAAAGATAATACTATTGTACTTTTATTTCAGTATATTTACACTGAACAAAAATATAAACGCAACACTTTTGTTTTTGCTCCCATTTTTCATGAGATGAACTCAAAGATCTAAAACATTTTCTATATACACAAAATAACCATTTCTCTCAAATATTGTTCACAAATCTGAAAAAATCTGTGATAGTGAGCACTTCTCCTTTGCCGGGATAATCCATCCCACCTCACAGGTGTGGCATATCAAGATGCTGATTAGACAGCATGATTATTGCACAGGTGTGCCTTAGGCTGGCCACAATAAAAGGCCACTCTAAAATGTGCATTTTTGCTTTATTGGGGGGGTCTGGGGGGGTCCGAAAACCAGTCAGTATCTGGTGTGAGGGGTAGGGTTAGGGTTAGGGTAATGTTGTGAATCGAGTGGCCCATGGTGGTGGTGGGGTTATGGTATGGGCAGGCGTATGTTATGGACGACGAACACAGGTGCATTTTATTGATGGCATTGTGAATGCACAGAGATACCGTGACGAAATCTTGAGGCCCATTGTTATGCCATTCATCCACGACCATCACCTCATGTTGCAGCATGATAATGCACGGCCCCATGTTGCAAGGATCTGTACTAGAGATGTTAAGATTCACCGATTCGCATCGGTGCACCGGCATAAACGTTCAAGATGCGAGTGCACCGGTTGAAAGAGTGCACATCGGCTACAGTTTGGGTTGAACCGGGTTGAACTCGCGATGCATCGATTGCGTAGCGTCTTTGCATCGGTAAAAAACCGATTCATTCATATAAAATCCCCTCATCTTGTCAACGCTCAGCAGAGACGATCTTTGATATTTGCTTCGCCACTACGGAGGCCGAGAATCTCAGTTATCAACACACACGGAAGTTGAGGAGAAGAGAAACACAGCGCACCGAAAAATACCTACAAATCAAATGTTTGGCAACACTTCGGATTGTTCAAGAAAGACGGTGTAATAGTCCTTTATGCTATAGAGTTGACCGCAGGTCATGGAGAGTAATAAGGTATCCGTAGACCTTTGTATGAGGTATCTTTATTACTTAACAGGTCTACAGCCATGATACATAGATCCGTCCTAGATGCGGGCTTGCATACACACAGTATCACTCCGCAGCCGCACCCCATCAGTAACGTCCTGATGGTATATGTGCGCGGCACTATATACTACAGACGGTCAACTTGAAAAATCGCTCGCAAATTGTTAATGATGCCGAGCCGCTTTAAAGTACACAAGTAGTACGAGGAACTTAGCGACGCACATAAAGAGGCGACATGGGGTCTGCGGCTGAAAAGAGAAACCTGAAAGTTAGACATATGAGTGAAATCACTCAGTGAGGTGTTCTGTCAGAGAGAGTGGTGTTTAGTTTACAGCAGCCTGGGACTGCCAATAATAGTTTACATATCTTCCTTACTGTAAGCAGTTATGAAAGAGCTGTTTGTGAAAGGTTATTTGTATTATTTATTGTTCATATAGAACAGGGGTACTCAAATACAAATCTTAAAGGTCCAAAATAAATGTTTCAATAAGACAAAGGTCCGTTTATTACGGTCATTCAAACTTTTAAACAATTGCAACAAGATTCTTAACACGAGGTTGCAAAAACAAAAATAATCTGTATGCAGCAGTTTTCATTGTTATTGTGTCAGTGCTTGACCCCTCAGAGTCGCAGTGTAAGAGCTGCACAGTTATGAATAAAGGCAGCTGCACCCTCTTTCATTCAGCATTCCCATTATTGCTTTATAAATGTCTTGCCCCCTTGTGTGTCCACTGAGGTTCGTCAGGCCCAACACATCTTCAACAAACTCCCCCTTTGCCTCATCATAAAAACTCTCAAACAGCAGCAACTGAGCATTGTCAGTGGTGTCAGTGGACTCACCCACAGCTAAGGAAATGCAATGTGCATTTTTTATTCCATCACAAAGCTGATGAATCAAATCACCAGCCAGTATTTATGTTCTTCTGGTTGCTGTGCAATCTGAGAGGGGATTTGCTTGATTTGACCTGTTATTTCCTCTTTTTGTTTGCCTTCAACATGGTCTCCATCACTTCAGTCATGCATTCTTTTATACTGCAGTTATTATCCAGTGGAAAGTCCTTACCTACTGGCCTAGTTCAATCAAAGTGGTTACTTTCTGTTGGCTGGGCAGTGTAGTTTTAAACACCGTCTTATTTGACTTTCTCAGGACTTAAAACAGTTTTTTGGGGGCAGACCCCCTCAAAGAAAACAATATATTTACACACGTAAGGTCATCATCTTAATAGTTTTGTATGCTCATCCGTGAGCAGAGCATCAAGTTGACATGTCTATTACAGCTGAATGCGGCGATTACCATTTTGTTCAGCAAAACGCCTCACAAACGTATTAAGATCAACAGCTTTAGTGCGTTTTGATTCAATGCAGAGTACATTCAAACTGACAGTCTCTTCTCTGTCATTGTAGACCGCAAATACCTCATTCCTTCAGTGCTTGGGTCCGAATGCTTCTCGTTTTGCGCCGTCCAGTTAAAAATGAAATCGCCGCCAAATCGTGTGTCCAAACTCGCGCCAGGACCGGGGGAGGGGTTACATGACGTGCATCTCGTGCTGCATTCACTTGCACTCGGACATTAGAGACTTTCTCTCATAAATGTCCGATGAGCCACAACTTTTCTTTCAAAACAAAGCTGCCAACTGGGGTGGCAGCTGGGGTGGCAAGGCCTATTTTTAGGGTGTCAGTTGCCACCCCGGTAGGTGAAACTAGGCTACTAGCTACAGTATAGATGGAACTAGATGAGCTGTTAACTCTCGCTCTGAATTTTTTTTGTTTTTGTTTTAATTCTCGCTCTGACTTAGACAGGTTGAAAGAGACACACACATTTTTCCCACCCGCATTCCGCGAAGACCCGCCCTACTGTGCCTCTGATTCGCAGATTGTTTGGGGGGAAAAAACGCTGACTGGATGCTGAATGTGATTGGACCAAAGCGTTGACACACACAGGTGGAACACAGTGGAACAGTCAGACATGCAGAGCGCTGTTTGCAGTGGACATAGCGGAGAATTTTGACTCGTTGCGAATGCGTTGTGGCGATGTCTCACATATAATACAGAGAGATCATACATATGAAAAGTATAATTTGCTCAGAGTCCGGAGACAGTGGTGGTTCGGTCCGGATCCGGACCGGAGTCCGTAGTTTGAGGATGCCTGATATAGAACCCACTGCTTTCTGCTCACTGGTGAGTTAGCCTATGAATGAGTGTTAAGCACATCAGGCAGCAGCTGTATGGGCATTGCTCTATGGTAGCTGTTATTTGCACATTGTTAATCATGAGCAATGCATCCTTACATTGTTTAACTGTGAGGTGTTATACAATTGTACTGTACTCTGGAGAGCTTTTAAAGGTAACAAAATAAACGGCATGATGGGATGTGCAGTACCAAATATGTAAAACACTTTTTTGTTAATGTATGATTTGCTGCATATTAGTAATAAAACAAAAATTCTCTGTCGTACCAAATTGAAGTATCATTATTTTTGCAACGTGTTGAATTGCATTGTATCGCACCGAATCGCATAATGTTGAATCAAATCGTATCGAACTGTATCGCAACTGGGGTGAATCGTATCGCATCGCCTGGTGTTTCAAATGTATCGTTAATGTATCGTATCGTGGCAACGTATCGAGATGCGCATCGCATCGGCCTCAGTGATGGAGATGCACATCCCTAATCTGTACACAATTCCTGGAGGCTGAAAACATCCCAGTTCTTGCATGGCCAGCATACTCACCGGACATGTCACCCATTGAGCATGTTTGGGATGCTATGGATCGGCGTATACGACAGCGTGTTCCAGTTCCTGCCAATATCCAGCAACTTGGCACAGCCATTGAAGAGGAGTGGACCAACATTCCACAGGCCACAATCAACAACCTGATCAACTCTATGCCAAGGAGATGTGTTGCACTGCGTGAGGCAAATGGTGGTCACACCAGATACTGACTGGTTTTCGGACCCCCCCAGACCCCCCCAATAAAGCAAAACTAATGTCTAATCAGCATCTTGATATGCCACACCTGTGAGGTGGGATGGATTATCTCGGCAAAGGAGAAGTGCTCACCATCACAGATTTTTTCAGATTTGTGAACAATATTTGAGAGAAATGGTTATTTTGTGTATATAGAAAATGTTTTAGATCTTTGAGTTCATCTCATGAAAAATGGGAGCAAAAACAAAAGTGTTGCGTTTATATTTTTGTTCAGTGTAGAATGGAGGACTTTTACTTGTAATTTAGTAAATCTACACAGTAGTATTACAACGTTTACTTGAGTAAAAGATCAGAGTATTTTTGACCCCTCTGGCAACATGTAAATTAACAACTAAGACTGGAAATAATGAATAAAGATGTTATTGTAGGCTCTGTGGTTTTGATATGAAGGCTGTGAATGGCAGAAGGAACATGAGTCGGCCGGGGCTCAACAACTCCGCAGGAAGTGAAGCTGTGACTTACTGTAGCAGACTGCTCTAAACAGACAAACACAAGTACCATAACCAGATCCCCCGCGCGGAGCTTCAGAGCCGTGGGGTCGTGGAGGTTCCAGTAGTCCTTCACTGCTCGGACCTGCAGGGAGCTCGATGCCTCTGCAGGCACGCACGCGCGTGCACAGACACACAGACACACAGACACACACACACACAGACACACAGACACACACACACACACACACACACACACACACACACACACACACACACACACACACACACACACACACACACACACACACACACCACACACACACACACACACACACACACACACACACACACACACACACACACACCTCATCAGGATGGGATTCTGACCTGTCTGCAATCTCTCCCCCACTGCTTCCCTACCTCTGTCTGAACAAAATATCAGTTTTATTTCATAAAATCTTTAAACTTTAGACCAGAGCTACAAACCTCTGAGCAGCTGTTTGATCTCCCTGCCGGCAGAGGAGGTGGTGAACTGGTTGACGATGTCCAAAGCTGTCTGGTTGTACGTGTTGCGCATGTTCACATTGATGCCCGCCTAGAAACCCAAACACAATCACACACCACATACACACAAATACAAAAATACACACATACACATATCCATGGTAGATTTATGTGGGTGAGGTACAGTTTAATAGCAAACCCTCCTTGTTTATTAAAGACAGAGGTGGAAGAAGTACTTAGATCTTGTACTATAGTAAAAGTAGAAGTACCAGAGTGTAGGAATACTGTGTTACAAGTAAAAGGCTTCCATTCAAAATGTTACTCAAGTAAAAGTAAAAAAAGTATTATCATCAAAATATAGTTAAAGTACCAAAAGTAAAAGTAGTCATTGTGCAGATATGTCCATTCCAGAATAATAAGGTGCAGCTAGTTTTAATGACTTTGTATACTGCAAATACAAATCTGTGAAGTAACTAAAGTTATTAAATACATGTAGTGGAGTAAAACTACACAATTTACCTCTGAATTGTAGTGGGGTAGTAACACATAATGGAAATACTGAAGTAAATGTACTTGGCAATGGTTACTTTACACCACTGATTAAAGAATACCCTTGTAATGAACTGTAGTGTGTGTGAAGCAGCATTCCTTTTGGACACTGCCTCTCCATCTACACATTCAATACAAAAATATCAGCATCAGTCTACAAAATCATGTATGAGATGGAATGATATTTTTGGTGTTTGCTTACATCCAGCAGCAGCCGCACCACCTCCGTCTTGCCGTAGAGAGCGGCTTCGTGCAGAGACGTCCCGGCTTTGGTGGCTCTGTTGATGTCGATCCCCGCTCTGAGCAGCAACCTGCGGAGTGCAACACTAATGAACCCCCCACTCATCCGCCCACACACATAAGCTACCAGAAATGTCTCTGCTGGTCTCAGAGTGCAGTACTCTGCACTCTGAGACACTTGTCTGCGCTGTGTGAGCAGTGAGTCTGAAGCACTGCTGGAGGATATGAGCGGTCAACACACTCTCACTCCCTAAACATCCAGGAGTGACGCTTGGTCAGGGTCCCGTGGCGTGCAGTTGGGACGCGCCAAGGCTCCTTCAGCTTCATAAACGGACGCAGAGAGCTTTCAACTGATTGCAATGTATTCCCATCGGCGGCGGTATTTGACGCTCATGGAAGCACCGCATCGGTCCATGTCGGCAGCTCTTAAAGACAATGTGAGCGTCCATTCCCATTGGATAGCGCAGGGGTCTGCAACCTTTTTGACCAAAAGAGCCATTTTGCTCCTTTTTCCAAAACATTTTTTTGTCTGGAGCCGCAAAACATATTTCATAGTTTTTTATTGTTATATCAGACAAAAACTACAGTTTTTTTGCATTTATTAGGCTATTTATTACATGATATAAAACTGTTAACCTCTAATAAGAAACAAATAACTCTAAGGAGAATTACAAATAATACACAGGCCTACTTTAAAATAAATTAAACACAGCACTTGGGGAGTCCTCTGCACATTTGAAGGAAAACAAAATATTATTAAAATGGGCCCACTTTGAAATAAATAAAACATATAGCTGCACCCTAAAAAGAGTTAAAGGTAGGGTAGGTAAGGATGGAGAAACCAGCTTGAGTGCGCTAGAATTTGCAACCGGAACAAATCTGCCTCTTCCTTCAGACTTTCTTACAGAGTCCCTCCTCCAACACGCACGAACGTGCACATGACCAATGAGGGCAGGAGATAAGTTTGTGCACAGATGGAAGGCTGACAGGCAGGTAGGCCATCCAGTTATTTGAGCCGGGCCGGCTAAAATGACTGGATGTGCTTTTTACAGCGCTACGGCTTCCAGAGATTATTTTTTGTATGTATTTATTGTCAAAGCATTTAATATATTCATTGCTATCGGGACGTTAAGAGCATTCCATGGAATATAACAAAAAGTGTTTTCTGAAATAAATTACATACCCCATTGAATTATGACTGAAGATCGTCAGCTGTCTTCCGCTCCCTTGTTGTTCCTCGATACGTAAAGGCTGCACCATCGTTGACAACTTATTTCTACATATCAGACATGCCGGTAAACCAGCATCGTTTGCTGTGAAAGCAGATAACTCTGTCCACACAGAATTAAATCCTGGGTTCCTCCGGTACTTTTCTTTGATTTATCCATAGTTCGCTCATCGAGCCGGGGGTCAGGTTATTCACCTCCAAGAAAAGGCGCTCGCGCGGGACCGTAGCAGGATGTGACGCATATTTTAGTTGACCTAATTAAAACCGTTTTTTTAATTTATGTGTCACAGTATCACCTCAAAATACAAGATACGAAACATTTTCAACCATGCAACAAAATATAAATAGTCCTACAAATACTTTTATTTTATTTCCTTCTTATTTTTGTCTAAGCTCAAGGGAGCCAGAGCAGAGGGCTTAAAGGGCCGCATGCGGCCCGTGGGCCGCGGGTTGCCGACCCCTGGGATAGCGGATAATTGTACACCCGGAAGTAAGTATTCTCCTTACTGTCGATTGATTTGACAGTGATATCTCCACTACTCATCAACTCAAAACCACCAGATTACCTTTGTTAATTAAACGACATTGATAGGTTTAAATTGTGTGCAATGCTTTTGTGTTTTTCCCCTTCGATTCTGAGAAACAACTTGTTTTCTCTGAAATGTGGAGCGCCAAAGAGACTACACTACCCACAATCCCCAGCTATTGTTGTGACGACGCCTGTCCGCTTTGACAAACCTCGTGATAAGTCAACAAGCTCTGTGATTGGATGAAACATAAATTCATACAACAAAAGTTCAACCCTGTCTCCTAAAAATTACGTTCCCACAGAACTAAACTGCATTCTCAATTACGTTTAGCTAGAAACGTATTTTCTCCCACGTTACGTTTATGAACGTATCTTAAATACGTTTATTTCCTACATATCTTTGCCATTTATTGTCTTGCTTATAATAATTATAATAGTCATTTATAAATATAATTTTAGAGAACACATTTGAAATCGAGAATCAGGCTCGATATATGGTTAAATTAAAATCAGTAGGCGAAGCTGTAATTTCTCCAGCTGTTACTCTCATGAGCGAGGCAGAAAATAATAGTTTTAACATGCCAAAAAGCTGCTGTGTCGTTTATTGCACCTCAAACATTAAAACAAATCCAGAGTTACGTGTTTCTGTACTTCCTCTAAGGACAAAGGACAGTAACAGAAGATCTCTGTGGCTTCAGGCTTGATCGCCGTTCAAATGACAGCGTTGGTTTCCCCAAAAGTGGGCGGGGCTGTAAAGTGACGTAGATTTTACTCTCATCTATTATTCAAAACCATTCGATTTATTCTAACGTAAATGACATGCCAGTGTTTTATCTTTTTATTACTTATATTTTTATACTTTATTTGCTATGAGTTATATCTGAAGCAAATGATGTTTCTGAAGATGTGTAGTGAATTCCACCCTTCAATGTAGCATAAATGTGAACTCTCATTACAGGAACAATACCGGAAACAGACCTAGGAAAGATCCTCAGCTCGCTGATTGGATGTTTTAGCCGCAATGCACGTTTTGAAAGATATTACTGATTTCTTTGAATATAAGAATGTAAATACTGAGTTGAGAGAATAGTCAGGGGATTTGGGTGATGGGAGACACATCTATGGAATCACAATTTCAATAGCTTACCATTAAATGACGGATATACCTTTCTGTCTGTGATGTTTTACAAATCAGATATTAATGTGTAGAAGTAAAACATGAGAAATAGTATAGCAATATCCTGTAAAAACATGAATAAAACTACATATCTTCAGATGTTATACATACATAAGTGTCCTACACTAATAATACAAAGTTATTATTAGTATGCTGTGTGTACCTTGTGTGCACCACCTAGTGGTTAAAGCACGTTATTGAATTATTTTTGTTGAATAATGTTATTTTTGTTGAATAATGTTATTTGATGAAAACAATATTAAGAGTACATACTTGCATAGGTGGAAAGTAGAAGGTCAATGATAGAAATATAGATTATAAAAAAATGAAGATACTGTAAGTGATCTCTACAATAAAACAGTTTAGTGCAGGATGTACACAGATATTAATATGAGGATATGCAAAACAGAAAAACTAATTCACCTTTATTAACACATTAAAGAATACTTTAGGTTAAGGTCTTCTTTCAAATAAGAAAAAAGCTTTGGGGGTATCTACAGATAAATATTAAGCCTGACAAAGTACTTAACGTCTAATGTATTGCTTTCCTGCAATGTTAACTATGTTGAAGCACTTATTTTAACTGATATTATACACATTAATTATACTCTTATGTAGATAGTATAAGAAATGTGCAGAATATGACAGTTTAATGGTGGAGGTACACACATATTGATGGATGTCTTGTAATGCACTGTTGAGGAACCTGTGACCCAAGTTGTTCATTCATTGCATAACTACACCGTAGTTGTGTATATGCTATGTCAATAAACCTTAGAACATTTTGAAATCTTGAAAGGGATGTGCAAAATAGCAATTATACAGTTTTTAATTAACTATTAGTAGAGAATAACGAGTAATGATCCCTTTCATGCATTGAGGTCACTACAGTGGACAGCTATTCAAAATGTGTTTTCTTGCATATGCATTGTTTTTGTTTGCATAGTTGCACAATCAGCCACTACATAGGACCCTATTTAGTTGGGTGGGTAGAAGGGGGTATCATGCACCCCCTTGAAATATACTTCTAATCAGCTTTTCTAGATTGGAAAAATTGTGTAGAAAACGATTAGCTATGTTAAAATGTTGACAAATTGTCCCACGTATATCTTTTTCCCAAATTAGTGTTTATTTACCCTAAAAATGGAGTTTCACTCTTTTTACACCTTTCACTATATCTCAGCCATTATTGCAGATAACTGAACAAATAAGGTATCCAGATCCATGTTTTGAGGGTCAAGGAACACATTAAAACTATTCTTAAAGTGATCACATGTGTGTGTGGCATGCTATTATGCTAATTAGTGCCGCCATTACAAGAAAATAGCATTTTAGTCTTGTACCAAGAACGATGTATTTTGCACCGACACAGAAATATACTTATAATCAGTGTTTCTTAAGTGGAAAAAGTATGTAGAAAATTATGAGCTATGTTAAAATGTTGTCTGGATGTCCCACATGTATTTTTTATGCAAATTTGTGTCACCATTACCAAAAACGGAATGTTCACACTTTTCATGATATCTCAGCCAATATTGCAGATAAATTAACAAATAATGTGTCTAGACCCATGTTTTGATGGTCAAAGATCACAATACAACTATTCCCAAAGTGATCACATGTATCTGTGGCATGCCATGCAAATTAAGAGATGCCAATATTGCAGTACAGTAAGTGAACACATAAGGTGTCTAGACAGATGTTGTGTATTTAACCAATATTTACTAGCCTACAGCAAGGGTCAAACATCATAATATAAGTATTGATGTGACTACTCTTTCCCATTCCAGATAAGCAGTCAAGGTTTGGCTCTCCACTATCTGATTAATACTCAATCATCGTTTTCAATGCTATCATCAGAGTCAAATTCCTCTTCCTCCTTGTCTTCCTGTTCACGCTCTATCGTGTCCAGGAGATCAACCAGGGAGGTTGGCAGGACAGGACCACAGGACCACACCGGTCTCAACACTCCATCAGTCCTCATCCATCCCTGCTCCTCATCATAGGGGTTTGGTTTTTCTAAAATTGATTCATCAGCTCGCTTGTACAGGGCGACGCAATGTTTCACACGTTGGACGTGCGGCTTCAGAGCATCATGGAGGAAGGCGAGCCAGGTCAACCTTAGACTTGGCAGTGA